AACTTTGCTTCGTTGTTTCTACACCCTACCCGTTAGATAGAACGCCTCGATGATTTTCTATCATGTTACCTCTTCTACTTGTTCCTTAGACTTATTATATACATGTATATGCTAGTAGGATGTGTGTTTAATTTTCGATCGAAGTATGTCGACAAATTGTTATTATATTTATACATAAATATAAAATATAATATATAAATATATATATAAATATAATTTCGATATTTCTAGAATATTTGTTTAAATTATTTCCAAATCGTTTTAAAAGGAAAAATATGTATATATACATATATGTATATATTATACAAATTTAAATATAAACTTCTTTAAAAATAATCGAATGTAAGATTAAACGAAAACTTCGTTTAAGTTCTCGAAACGATTTTCCTCATATTTTATAAATTTCTTACAGCTATCTATCTTGATATGATTTTACACACAATTTAATGTTTAAAACTTTTATATATATATATATATCTTTATACTTCCAAGAAAAACATTTGTTAAGCATTAAGTTCTTTAAATTAGAGATGATTTTATTACAACCCTACACATGCCGAACTCAAAACTTTTCAACCTTCCTCTATGTATTAAATAGATTACATTTTTATTATATATATTACTATATACTATATATTACTTCCATTTGTTCTATGTAAATTTGAAAAAAATCTTAATTCAAATTTTCAAAAATCATAACAAAAATGTGCACTCTTCTGCATAATAGGTTCTGAACTTTTCAGCAACTTTTCCTATACGTAAGAAAACTGTACTTTTTTAATACATATAAAATACTTTTATACATTCCATGTGTGTAATTTTGATTTCACACATTTCTCAACTTATGAGCTTAATAATGAATATAATTCTATTACAGTCCTCCACATGCTGGACTTAAAACTTTTTGGTCCTTCGCTACGTGCTTATTTGGTTCTGCAACTTTGAAAATAATATTCCTATTGCAACGAATAGTTTAAATGACGAGCTTAAACTATCGTTGAAGAAGTATATATAGCAATCCATGTAAATGACATATTATATAATTAAAGATTATATACCTTTCGAGTGCAAAAAGTTAATATCTATGTATATATAAATGAAAATTTCATATATATATAAAACATTATATATATATATATATATATATAATGTTTTTAAATTGTAAATGGAAAATAAACTAAACAAAAATTATGACAAATTAACAGAAAAAAAGAGAGAGAGAGAATGAAGGATAAAAACAAAAACACACAAAAAAATGCGAATTAATCGTCAAAAGCATTCTTTCTTTCGTGAATGAATATGCATGTATTTGTTATGTTTGAATCGTACTAGGAGACGAGTAATCGTGTGGTCTCTTGTGAATTGAAAGAGCTAGGATTGCACGTGTCTTGGCACCAAGCATTTAGGGTTAAACATCGCTCAAGGGGTTTCTTGTAGGCGTGACTACAAATGCCAACCACGTGCTACGTTTTAATAAATGCATCCTTAAATTCTACTACGATTAATAGAAAGACGAAAAAAAAGAAGAATAAGAATAAGAAGAAACCTTAGTAGCATAAAATAATGAAAAATATTAATTACACATGCATTCAATAGGGATTCTACTAGGGAAAGAAACAAAAAGATTTTAATTTTGTTTTCTTATTTTCTATATAAAAGTTGTTATTATTAAAAAGATGAAAAATTTTTAAATAATTTTTGTTTTGTCGCTAATAATCCCTGTTGATTGATGCGACATTAAATAAAGCTACGTAAAAAAAAATTTTTGTTTATTTCTTTTTTTGTAATTACGTATAATCTTTGTTCAATGTTATTCTAATGATAATGAAAATAAATTGTATCTAACAATGATCAATTTTTGTTACTTATTAATCAAGTAATTCTTTTAAAATTAAAAATGTGATTTATGTAAATGTTACATAAAATTATGACAAAGAAGTAAGAGAATGAGAGATAGAGAAATTGTAACTTCAATAATCTAATCCATACATCTTCTCTTACATTGAGAAATTCGATACCGAATTCTATGGCACTGATTTAATCTTTGTTAAAACCGCGAAAGTTCGTGCACGTTGAAGGGTTCCTCTGTTCGCCCTCGAATATTCCGATATTTAGCCACGAATAGTTTCGAAACATACACACCCACATGTACTATCAAATATTCCAATAAACCGTGTCGTATTTCTAAGCTGTTTGAAATTCACGTTTGTCGAATACGAAATGTTTTGTTTGTTTGTCTTGAGATCTAATTCATTAAACAAAAAAAATATCTTTTACGTTTTCATCAATTATTCATATTATCCATTTATTTTTTACTCAATTTCTTCCATTTAAATTATTTGTTATATGATTATAATTAAATTATTCTTATTTATATTTTAAATGTTTGATAATGTTTGAAACGAGTCGAGGATATATATATATATATATATATTAGGGTGGGTCAAAAAAATGATCAAACTTTCATGTGTACTGATTTCTGTCTCTGAATATCTTTTGAACGCTTAATTTAATCGCCAAAACATAAGACACCATTTTTATAGAGCAGTTAATTTCCTACAAAAATTTGTATTGCGCATTTTATAATACTCATTTATTGTCGAGTTATAAAATTCATAAACAAAAATGAAATTTGTCTTAAAATAATCAAATTTAATTCTTCAATATCATTCAAATGGTGAGGTCTACGGAAAAAATATAAGATACCTGTTTTGTAGAGCATTAAATTTCCTACAAAATTCTTCTAGAACACTTTTCTGTACAATCAATAAATAATGAGGTATGAATTTTAATCTATTATACTGAAAAAAAAATAAAAAACTGCGATGCGGAGGATCTTCCTATTAAAATTAAGAGCTCATATTTGGTGAGAATTGTTTTAAGGTATCTAGCAACCCATTTTTCCGTGGCACTTGAAAAAAAAAAAATTCATTTTTTTTTGACCCACCCTAATATATATATATTCAAATTTGTGTTTCCAAATACTATTTTATTTTTAATTACCTGTGATAGTATCTACTATTATTGATATGAGTTCTCATGAAGAAGGAATTGTACTTTTGATAAAAATAAAATGTTAAAGTATTACGAAAAATAGATACTTGTGCAACTCTGTTAAAATCGATGTCGATTTTAATGTAAAAGAATCTACCGTAAGAAAATGGAAGAAAATACTGAGGAAAATAAAAAAAATAAGTTGTATCAGAAAAATTTACCGATTTTTTTAAATCGAGTTCACTGGTATTTAGAATAATTTATGGCCTCGTAATAAAACAAAAATTTAGCAGTATAATAAAAGTTTGCGTATAGAAGCACTATTAAAATGGCCAATTATTAAAGCAATAAAAATGTACACGGTTAACAATATATGACCATATAAATACTATTTTACATATCCAATACAATATATTCTTAAATATACATATTTATGTTTGTTTCTTTTTTTTGTATATATATAAAAAGACACCACAGAAGACAATTTTATTTTGCATATAAAAAAGGTGTTTTTGAACACCTTTGAACACCATTGGACGTTTGTCGTTTGTCTTTCTATCACGGTGGTTAATCAAGGTTCTACTGTATAGATATACATATTTATACATATATTTCTTTATAAAAATAGTTTCATACTTTTTCTTATATGCTATATTATACTTGACGATATACTAAAAGTCACAAAATCGTATTAAATATAATATCTTATGATTGATCTCATAATATAAATAATTTTCATCCAAAATTGAAATCATACAATTCTATTTTTCTTAATTTTATCTATTGTTATAATAATTGACACGTTATATTTTCAAGAGAACAAAACAAACGGTAAAACTTTTTTTTCTTTTTTTCTTTCAATATCTTTCAAATAAAAAATGGATTTAGAATAAAAAAAAAATGAATTATATCGTTATTTTGCTTGCGGTTTCAACCTTTCTTTTTTACATCCGTGTTTAATCTTTCTACAAGTTTTATCTCTTGTTTTCTCTCTCTCTCTCTCTCTCTCTCTCTCTCTCTCTCTCTCTCTTTCTATTTATCTTTTTGCTTCCCTCTCGCTTTCTCAAATTTTTTTTGTTCATTAACTGCTTTGAAATACAACCAAATCGAAGATCACATATTTCCGCTTGAACGCTTTCGATGGATTATATATCGCAAATTCCATTTCTCCTGCATTAAGCCCTTTCGAAAGCATTTCTGATATCGATTCGATGGCTTTTTAAATAGTTAATCGCATCAGAATTCCATTAGAACGAACGAGTCTATTCTTCGAACTGAAATATCACAAATGTGAACATCCTTGTGTTGAATAAAATACAACCTGTATACGCATAACGGTGTAACGAAAAAGATACAGGAATAATAATATCTCGTAATAAATAGATTTTACAAAAAAAAATTCTAAAATAATTTTGCATTAGGAAATAAGAGAACAAATCTTTTTTTTTTCATAACAATTCGTAAAATTCAATCGTAAAATTAAAAGTAAAAGAACTTAGCATGAGATTATATTTTGATAAAAAGATTCTACTAGAAATAAGATTTAGCTAATTAATAATTTTTTTATGCTAATAGAATTTTATTACGTTTACATTTATCATTTTAACGTTTTTTTTTTATTTACAATAGCACGTCCAGCATAAATTATTTATAATTCTCGGCTGCGAATTAAATTATATTTTTTTCTATTAATAAAAAAAAATAAAAATTTTAATAAAAATAAATCTAAATAAATAGATATTTGCTATAATAGTTAAAATAAATAAATAAAATGACGAAGGGATAAAAAGAGAAGGAAGGAAGAAAGGATAGAGAGATAAAGATGTAATAAAATTAAATCAAATGTCGTATTATTTACTTCCAAACGTATTTATTTAATTTGCACAAGTAAAATAGTCAAATTACCTTAAAACATTTCTCTCTTCTCCGTTTATTTCAATAGGAAAATAAGTCCTAGTTATTCTAGAAACATGTTTCTATTTGTTTCTGTTTTTATTTGCTTTAAGGTGAGGAGCCAGTTGGATACTTGGGGAAACCATTACCCACTTACAAACCAGCATCGCAATTGGTTCCTTTGGGTGATGCTGCAAGGTTATTTTGCGAAGCTTATGTTGGTAGAATAAGACTACCTGATGCCAAAAATTCCGTGATCTGGTCGAAAACCAACAGCAACGTAACATTACCAACTCATGGTAGGATAGCACAGTATCCGGTATCAAGGTAAGTCCCTTCCCATTAAATACGAACCTCTCACATGCCAAATTAATTAACCCGAAAACCAAAAAAACGATACAAAAAATTAAAAAAAAAATTGATACAGTAATACATTATACATCATCGGATTCTAAAAAATTCTTCTTATTTAGTAATGTTAATATTAACAAAGTTGAATATCGATTAATTCCTTTGATAATAACATTTTTCTAAAACTCTAAAATTGAAATTTTTCGTTTTACCTTGTACCACGACTCTTGTATACATATTACCTATCATACGCAAGTTAATTTTTATAAAAAAAATAATTTTAGTCAAGCGTGGAGTATATTTTCATAAAATATAAAAAAAAAATTTTTTTTAATTTATTAAATTTTATTAACAAAATATTCCACGGGGATATAAATATGAATAATAATAAACGTACAAGTGAAAATCTCTCTTACCATTAATAAATTTTACTTACATCATATAATACTGATAAATATTAACAACGGTTTGTGTGTGAATATAATTTCTAATAATATCAAAGTTTTATTTCCAAATGAGAAAATAAATAAAACTCTTTTTGTCTCTATATTTATATTTATATTTATACTATATATATGCATATCCTTCATATGTAATATAGATAGGTAGATAGAAATGGAAAAAGAAAGAAAGAGAATGAAAGTAAAAGACCTAAGAAAAGATGTCTCGTATAGCAATCGTTTATTTTGCCTATCGTTCGAGCTGGAACTATCACTGGAAACGATACTCTAAAATGTAGGAGAATACTAAGGAGAAAACGGAGATTGCAAAGTTACGAGCTAGGAATAGAGAAAGAGAAAAAGAGAGAAAGAAAGAGAGAGAGAGAAAGAGAGAAAGAGAAAGAGAAAGAGAACACGTTGGGGTGGCATTTAGAGGTGCAGTATTGCCTCTATATGCCCTGAGCAATAATTCATACGTCCGAGACACACGAAGTTTCAGAGTAGCTAAACTCCTATCGAGTTTATATAAGCGTGCGTGTGGTATATATATATATACCTATTTCTATCTATCCATCTATTATATTTATGTATATGTATATGTATACATATACTCTTTCTCTCTCTCTCTCTCTCTCTCTCTCTCTCTCTCCCTCTCTCTCTCTCTCTTTCTATCTATATATGTATTCTCTATCCATGTATTTATGTATCTATATATCTCTGTCTCTTTTCATTGCAACCAAGCTTGCCTACCTCAGCTTCCAACGAGTTTTCAACTCCAATCGTGAACGCTTTCGAACGGTTTATAAGCTCCTCCTTGCAGTAAAGATATCGTTTCATAGACGTTTCAGTTTATATACCTCTACTACTTTTTAGTATTATTTTTTTGTCATCGTTCATTTTTTTATATTATTTCTTTTTTTGTATCTTTATATTATAATTTTCTTCTTTTTTTTTTTTTTATTACAAATATCAATTTCAAAAGAATAAATTATTATAATTTTGACAATTGTTAACACGTTGAGCGCCACGTCAGTCATCGGTGGCTGACACTAGACTTTCCATTTAGGCCGCGTCCGTCATGGGTGACTGACACGTTCAACAATTTTTTTCAATACAAAGTAACGCCTGTGGCCTGACGAGAATTTCTCTAAGAATTTGCATGGCTTTGAACGTGTAAAGTAATATTTTTTTCAAATGTAAAATTTATTATTTTTTAACTGCACGAAGAACAAGGAAAAAGAATTTCTAATGTTATTAATAGATATTATATAAAAAAACAAAGAGAAACTTCTAAGAAATTTATGGAAAAAATTAATTCAAGGATAATAGAATAATGTTTATAATTGTAATTGTTAATGAGAGAAGGAAATAAATATTCATAGATACTGTTGCGTGGTGATAGCATAATTTTGTGTGTATTACGCACGTGTTTGATGCCTCTTACGTCATTGTCGTAAACATTAAACACGAGAGTTCTGTTGATGACATGGACTGACTGTTATATAAGGGTACGTTACGAGAAGATCGGTTCCACCACCGATGTAAAGTCTAATTTCTACGTGTACAACATTTGGTGAGAGAGATGCTACTACACGTCCGCAACATATCTAACTATTATACTAATTAAGGTAAAACGTTAGATACGACTTTAATACGTGAGGAATTAAAGATAAAAGTTTATTCATTTTGTTGGTTTAATTTATTCATTTGAAATCAATTCATTGGAATACAACTAAGAAGAGGGTGGGGGATGTAACGATTTTATTAATTAAGAAAATTCAACCTCGTTCGAATTTTGTAATATTTCCAATTTGAATAAACTTCTTCTATTGTTGATAAAAAGTAACGTTAATAAATTCGTGAATAGGGAGGGTGGAGGGAGGAAAAAAATAAAGAAATATCTCTTTTTCTACTTACTTATAAAAAGAACAATGTGAAAATATCTTGCGAATTTTCGCATCCCTTTCTCTCGATTGTTTTTAAGCTTTCGTGGGAAAAAAGTTGCGGACAATGCTAGAGTTTTTCTTTCTTTCTCTCTTCCTCCCTCTTACTCACTCACACACAGACACACAGTTGGAGAGAGTTACGAAAATAAAAATAAAAATGAATAAAAAAAAAAAGGAAAGGAAAAAAAATGTACAAAAAGGGAGAGAAGAAAAGAAGTTGTCGATCCAATGAGGTCAGAGATCGAGAATGCTCGGGTTGTGCGAGAGAGAGAGAGAGAGAGAGAGAGAGAGAGTTGAAAGATAGAAAATTTATTTAAAAACTCGCTAAATTATACTGAAACTTCTCAGGCAGAAGTTTCACGTTGTTACGCAAAATTTCAACCACCGGAAGATGATGGACTATTTTTTATTTTGACTTATTTTCTCTCTTTTTGTTTTTTCATCCCCCTCTTGTTTTTCATCAACGTAAAATTTACTCAACTAAAATCTGATGGAAACTAACTCAACGATAGAAAATATTTGTTAATGTAATCGAATGATTATGAACAAATTATTGAGCCCCCCTCTACCTCAGACATACTCGTATTGGCATATTAAAGTATCAAAACATAAAATGTATAAAATTTCTTCTGGTCCCATATTATAGATAGATATTCAATATAATTATTAAGTAAATTTATATTATATATATATAAAGTTAACTATTGATTACAAATACTGATACAATTATACAAAAATTCTATAAGTTAAAATAAATTAATTTCTGTCTTGTCTTCATCCTTGGTTGTATAAGTAATGATCAAAATTACAGTCAACATTTTTATTATAAAAAAAAAAAAGAAAGAACGACAGAATGAAGAAACTTTTGGTAAATTTTTCAAAATCTAATTGAATCGTTTTAATCGGTAAATAAAATTTGTACGTATAATAAATACAATTGTTCTTGTTAACCCTTACAGTGCTAAATACTTTTAAATAAAGTGTTTTGTAGGGACGGAATAATTTATTATTAGTTTGACTATTTTCATTCATTTTCATTAATATTTTAAGTTTCTTAATATATATTTTCATATGACAAGACTCAAAACAACAATCAATACGCAAACCAATACTACATTGCCATGAACACTTGCTGTAAAATACTTTATTAATAATAATAAATATATTATACAACACTTACATACCATTGATAAAAGTATAACTCTTTAAATTATATTTATAAAGTTTAAAACAAATCGAAATATATAATACAATAGTTATAATTTATTTCTTATAAAAGTAAAGGTTGTTGAAACCAAAAAAGTATATATTAGGTCGAGTCATAAGTAACTTCAGATGTGGCTATGTAGAATCTATTTTTCGTATTTACCTACTATAAGTCACCGAAACAAACGGATGTTCAATATCACTATATAGATGAGGATTCAGTTAGTCTTCTGTCAAATTTTTTATGCAGTCAATGTTACATTTAACCGTTTTTCTTAACCACTGAAATGGATAGTAAAAAGTGCATATTCGACATGTAATGTTTTAGGAATTGAAACAAGGCAATATCACTAAAGTGGCAACTGAAAAAATATGCATCGTATACAGTGCAGGACTGATAACTGATAGGGCARTCAGAAATTGGTTTGTAAAATTCCGTTCTGGAGATACGATCTTAAAAGATGAACCGAGTGCAGGACGTATTTCCGATTTTGATGAACCTTTTAAAGGTAATATTGGAGCAAAATCCAATAGATACGTTCAACAATTGCAAAGAGTGTAAAAAAAAACTCCATGAAAGGTGTCTCTTGCACTTATCAGTCGCAGAAACGCCATTCTTTGTCTCATAAAAAACGGAAGTTATTTATGACTCGACCTAATAGATAACTTTTAAGTTTTTAATATTTAGTAGGACCACCTTTGACACGAATAACATATTATAAACTCTTATGCATACTCTTTATTTTATTTCTGTAACACTTGATGATATGGAATTCTTCATACTTCGAGTATTATAATTATCATCATCTTGTAATCATTACCATTGTATATATGTATATATATTTCAATTTTCTTGAAACTTTACTTATATAATTTAGAAAGTCATACCTCTATTTAATGTTTAATAATATATAGGTAAGTGTAGTATATAATATACTATATTATAATTATTAAATTATTTCATGGTGAGTGTTCAAATACTTTTGTGAATCACTCTACCAACTTTTACCAAACGCATATATGCATTCACACAACTCAAAGGGTTAATCTGATAAAGAAAGGAACAAGCGAGTAAACAAATAAACAAACAAACAAATAAACAAAGAGACCTCTTCGATGGCGGTCGTCGTCGTTCCTCGAAGGGAAACAAATCGTTTCGATTCTTCTTTACCTCTGGAGAATCTCATCCTTAAAGTCAAGGATTCGAACGAAACACACGCTCTTAGGGTCCGACGCAAACGATTAGCCTTTTTGCCGGTTGCAACGCGAACCATTATACGCGTAATAATGCCACGAGAGGACAAACTTGTGCTACGGTGGCAAAACACGAGAAAGAAAAAGGACGGATTGAGAGAGAAAATGTAAAGGATAGGATAGATGATAA